CTAGACATAGTAAATAATTGCGGTGAAATGGAAGTTTAAGAAGACAATTTCTTTAATAAAGAGAAAATGTAAAATGTGGATTTTTTTGTTTAATAGAGATAATAACAACCATAATTTAATATTTCAGTAATTTCATTTTTTTCCTTATCTATTTTTTGCAATTGTTAGTATATTATGGATTGTACTTAGAGTAAAAATTTTAAAAAAACAAAATAAAACTAAATAATGACAGTTAAAATCCATATGAAGAGCAATGTTTTCTTTTGAAAAAAAAATAAAAAATGACTTCAATAATTTGAATAATTCTTCTCAGTTTTGGTGACAGGAAACACCTACCAATTGTTTGGTTTTGATATATTAGAAAATAAATATATGTTAATGAACTAGAAAATAAGAGAAAAGTTAAGATAATATATAATCAAGGTTATTGATAGCGAATAGCATCACATAGCAGTGAGATACCACTAAGGCTATTTGCGCATATAGCGGCATAATAGCGACAAATAGCCCATAGTCAAATAGCGTTCAAATTTAAATATATTTAAATATTCTAAAATATAAGATAAATTAAAGAAAAATCTAAATTTTTTTACAAATGCATATTTGACAAATGCATGTTTGATGATTTATGAAGATCCTAAGCATGAAATATATGTGTGACATTTTCATAGTATTAACAAAGTACTATTAAAGAATAAGAAAGCACCGGAGATGGTCGAGGTGGTGGAGGGAGCACTGGAGATGAGAAGAAGCACCGGAGAGAGGGAGAGAACCGGCAGCTAGGGTCTTTTCTCTTTTGTGGTTGCTAATCAAAGAGGGGGAGAGGAAAAAAAAGAGATCTCATAGGGTGGGTTAGGTAGAATATAAAAGATATCAACCAAAAAGTGGGTTTTAGCGGTTAAATTAAAGCACTGAAGCAGTTAAAAGTGTTGAAGCAGTTAAAAGCACTATTCAGCGCTTTTAACCATTAAAACTCGCTATGCCATGCAATCACGAGCAAATAGCGGTTTTGGCCGCTATTTGCTACAGCTTTCGCTGATAGCATAACGGTAAGCAGCGCTAA